ACACTCGAAAGTACAAACACAGAAAACGCTGTGAAACGCTGAAAAATCTTTCACTTTTGGTTTTGAAGGTGTGGCAAGGCTGGTTTTCCTCGTAAATATAAACACTCTAAACTTGTCAGCCATAAATTTGATAAGTAATTTTTAAATGACTAAATTTAGCAGAAAAATTACAAAATAGAATCTCCCCTATCCGTACATACCCCATTTCTATGGAAATTCGGTTTTCTTACCCCTCCGCCAAAGTAATCGGAATCGTGCCCGGCCTTCGGCCGCGCCTCAAAAAAAATAACTCTGGTCGGTCCAACACCGGGGTGTACACAATTTTTTTCGCGTAGAACTCCTTTTTGGGTGTATACATTTTTTTTGCTCCCGTAGAACACATTTTTACATTGGCGGCCATCAGACCGCTTAAATTTTTTACATATTTTTTTATTGCTTATCAACGATTATGTTTCCTATATTCATGGTATAATATTTCTTTATAAGTTTTTTTTTTGTTTTAGTTTGTAAAATATTTTAGTATGGTAACACTGATTATTAGACAAATTTACAAATTAAATTTTACAAATTATGTCGATAAGGTAACACTGATTATTTGACAGTTTGGAATTCATTTGTTATTCTAAACAATAATATTTCAACAATAATTTAAATGTACACGAAAAGCAATTTTGCAGTATACTATATAAAATAAATGTGTGCATGAATAATTGATGTGTTAGTGTATATAAAATTGAAAAATTTAAGTGAAAAATTAATTTTAGATACCGGAAATATGTAATTAAAATATTGCAAAATTTCAACTTTAATCGCGAATATCTCGAAAACTATAAGCTTCCTGCGGCTATATTCGTGATCTGGAGAATCTCCTCTATCCGACCGTACCCATTATATTACCGAAATCCTGGGACGGTATACTAAAGCCGACCCTTAACTAATAAGAAAATGTCTTTCGGAATTTTTTTTTATCTGGATAAATCCCGGGCACGATTCCGATTACTTTGGCGGAGGGGTAAAAAAACCGAATTTCCGTTTAAATGGGGTATGTCCGGATAGGGGAGCTTCTCCAGAGGAGGAACATCAAAAAATAATATAAAAGTTACTTATATTTTTTAAAATATTCACGATTAAAAGTTCAAAAACATGCACTAATAACAAGGTATTTCTCTATCTTCCATTAAATTTAGTCACGTTTTTCACTGTGTATATTTAAATATACACTCTAAACATTGAATTAAGTTCACATTTCAATTTTATTTTGTAATATTTCACCTAAATTTATTAATTTAAAAATCACTTAGCGAACTCGGCGTTGCAAAGGTTAGATTGTTTACAATTATAAGGAAATAAGGTTGCCACATCTTAAACACCAAATATGTAGGATTCTTAACGATTTTTCTTTTTTTTTTTGCGTGATTCTTTTTTCTACATTAATTATAATAAAAAATTGGTTGTGTTTAGTATCGCGCCGGTTAATTTTGGCTCACCGTACCTAAACGAGAGAACCAAATGGAAAATTTTAAACACGCATGTATGCTTAAATTATCGAACTTTGTTTTAAAATATATTTTATTAAAATCGGTTCACAAATTTTTCCACAAATTCACTTTAAAAAGTGCTATTTTT